ACACATATTTATACACATATATATACATGCTAAGGCTTTTGGGAAGCACATTTTGAATACTTCTTTTTTATTTTTTGTTTAAAGATCAAATGTGATTTTAAGATTTTGGACTAGGACTTTTTGATTATCTTATTAAAATAAAAAAATAGTAATTAAAAGTGTTGCTTTAAAAAATGATGTCAAATATTTTGTTTAAAAGCTATCATAAAAATATTCAGTGCCTTCAAATAAGGAATTTCATTAAACAAAGAAATATGAAGCTGAAGTATTATGACCTTTTTATTCTCCCTAGCCAATCCCCATTTCTGGCTGAATTTATTAGTTGATTTGATTCAAAGTTCCCTAGTTCCATTTTCCCCATAGTTCATTCACTCTACACCAAAGCTTATTTGCCCAGTTCTGAAGCCAGCCTTAAATATCATCTCTTTTGTAACTATTCCTTGGAAAGAGACTTAATTTCTAAAAGTTTCAAGACTCAGAGAAGGTAGTTTGGTAAAAAACTGTGTTCTTAAGACCTGTATTTTTCTTTTTAGAAGAAAAATATTAATGCTCTGATGCCTAGTCAATGTTGTATAGGCAGTGGTGGTCACTGGGTACAGTTAATATATTGCAATAATACAATATTTCATATCCTGACCTTTGAAAATTGCTGTCATATATATCCTACACATAGTAAATCTGTTTCATAAAGGTTGGAAGAGTTTCTGAAACATTTTGTTCAATAATAATGTGTGTTTGAGCAAAATGGAGAGAGGGATTTTATGGAAAAGAATGACATTTTCTAGGAACACTTAATTATTTTTTGGCTTTGGTATTAAAAATATAATGTTTAAAGGGGCCTAAGTTTTTTCCATTCCGAGAAGTGAAAAGCATTAAGGGACTGGAGCATGTCTCTTATGTGAAAAGGCTGAGGGAGTTGGGCCTGTTCAGCCTCAAGAGGAGATGACTGAGAGAAGACATCATAAATCTCTGTCAGAATCTGAAGGGAGGGTGTTGAGGTGATGGATCCAGCCCCTTCTTGGTGGTGCCAAGCAATAGGAGAAAAAGCAATGGGTAGAAACTGATGCGTAAAAAGTCCCATCTGAGTATGAGGAAGAACTTAACCGTGCAGGTGACCCAGCACTGGAACAGGTTGCCCAAGAGATGTTGTGGAGTCTCCCTGACTGGAAATATTCAAAAACCATCTGGACACAATCCTGTGCCATGTGCTCTAGGAATGACCCTACTTGAGCAGGGAGCTTGGACCAGATGACCCACTGTGGTCACTTCCCTGGGAGTGGGGCATTACCCATTTTTGTATGTCTGTAAATCCAGAAAATCTCTCAATCTATCTCTCTTCAAAGTGTTTTCACACTTTGAGACTCAAAAACAAAGCTAGATTTTACAGGATATTACAGACCGTAATAACCCTAGACATAATTTCCCCAAAATGTTACAGCATTTGGGTTTGATTTAATTAAGTGCACATTTGTGACTAATACAGCCATCACCCCCTTACTGCATGGCAGCAAGCGTGGGTATTGTGCTTTAGACACACAACAAGGTCTCTGCCTGTGGCCTGTAGCCCAGTCTGGAGTGGTTCAGTCCAGAAAGTCTCCTCATGTTAGGTAGATCTTGGCTCAGTTTCCCTGTACACACCTGGTCATTTCTTTGCAGCTGACACATGCAAGGGAAACCAGGTAATCTTAATGCCATTCTTTCATTGTGATTCCTGAAAACAGAGAGGAGGCAAAGCAAAACTGTGCCGTAGAAATGAGTTGTCAGGGATATATTCTATCAGTTCATCCCTGAGATGCCTTAGAGTCTCACTCTGCTCTCTGCTTTCTACAAATGTAGCTGGATTATTATTTGTATTAATTAATAATATTAAATATTAATATTTATTACTATTTTGTCTGTATGTGCAGAATGTATTGCATTTGATGATTAAAAAAAGTGTTTTACTATCTTTTTCAGACTGATAAAAATAATGTTTGATTCCAAAATAACTGAAAGTGAGTTAGTGGCAGAGGTACTACATGGAAATGTCACTGCAACCATCTTCACAGAGGAGAAGTAATAATTAAAAGCCTTTCAAATACTAGGATCCGAGAGTGAGAGTTGCTTAGTTTAAATGCTGTACCTCCTGAAGCTCACTATGAAGTATTTATAGGATAGAGACTGAAAAGTAGTCAAACTAAGCACTGACAGTCTAAAGTAAATGCAAATAATTAAAGGAAGCAATATAGTGTATAGTACAATTTATAGAAAGTCAGGATAAAAATAGGTGAGGATCAATATATACACAAAATTACATACATTGGTGACTGTTTAACATCTTGTGTCTGTCATGCATTTGCTTTATTTACTGTGAAAGCTAGAAAGAAAAATGATCATAAAATATTTAAGAGTTGGTGTAAATGGAAAAAATGTTTTCCCAAGGTAATGGACTCCTCCAGCTATTAGGCAATGAAGCAAAGTAGAAACATTTATTTTCCAGGCAGAAGGCAGTGCTTCTGAGATAAATTTCTATGATAATGAACATAAGGCAGGCATTCACCATAATGAATCCAGAGGTGTCTGGCTTTACCCAGAGAGCTCTGAATGAGCAGGGATGGCTGTTCTGCACAGCCTGGCTGTGGTGCCCAAGCCCCATTTCCCACACCAGTCCTGCAGGGGCTCCGTGTGCTCAGTGTCCATCTCCAGCAGTGTGCTGGCTCCTGGAGACTGGTGCTGGCTGGGAACATATGTTTCCTTTCTGACAGAAGTGATGTTTGTAGCATGAGGGGCAGGCTCTGACAGACTGCTTTTTACTGCACAGATCTCCCGTATCTGCTTCCTATGAATGAAATGGAAGAAACTCTAACCCTCTTTCACAATGATTTTTGTAGGTGGCATTGCTTTTCCCCCATTATTTTTTTAAGCAACTGCTGCCCACCTACCCATTTGCTTCAGAACAGTGTTTCTCTCAACCTTACAAACATCCCTTCAGACAGGCTTTTAATCCCACTTCCTTGTGCATCTCCTGTGCTTTACTCTGGGCACAATTGGCACTTTGTTTTCCTGCTGACTTCCCACAGTTTAATTCTCAGTACCTTGCAGTCTCAAATTTAATGTATATTTGATGGTACAGAGTGTTTGAAAAATTCCCTGACTTCCTTATCTTTCTTAGCATTTCCTCTTTTCTTAATATTTGTGCAACATTTTAACTTTTATGAATTTGTTCAACATTACTTTTATGAATCATCATATTTAATGTAATCTCTGGATAAGTTTTAATTGTTTTAAATATCTGAACATGTTTATTTGTTTTAAACCTCTGAACATTTATTCATCAAGTTAAAAAATATTTGCTTTTGCCTTAGTACTAATTCTTTTCTAATCCTTCAGGTAAACAGTCACTAGCCTGAAAATGTAGATTGGTATATGTGTTTTTTATTTTTAAAATAAATATTTCATTGGCATATTGTCACCAGAATGCATTAGGAATAAAATAAATAGAAATGCAACCTGGTGATACTTTTAAAAATATGCAGGATAAACTTCAGAAAGTCAGAATTAAATAAAAGTTTTTGTCACTCTGAGCACTAGCTCAGATCAGGCTAGGCAGATCAGGCTCAACTTGTCAAAACTTCCCCTTGTGATTTGAAGTGTATGTACCTGATGCTTGGACTGTTTGATCTTAAAATGCCACTAAGGCTATTTGTGCTGGGTCATGTCACTTCAAACAAAGGATTTATACTCTTCTCTCCTCTTATCTGATAGGTGGATAGCTCTGGTAGTGCCTAATGTAAAATCATTAAGCACCACTTTTTCTTTTATCTTAAATCACTGCTTTCCTAAATTGATACTAGCTATCTACTTTAAAAAAATGGATGTTGTGGATACATATATGATAATTGTAGTTATAAACACTGCTGGACTTCCCCAGAGTGCTGTTTACACTTAACATATTCATTACCATTGCTCTGTTTTATGGGCACAGTTAATAAATATAGAAATACCTGGGGACTCCCCCTACGTCTGTATTCCACTTCTGTGTTTGATAACTATCACTCAAGTTATGTTAAAAAATTTCATAACAATAGGACTGAGGCATCAACTTAGGCAACTTTAGGAGTCAACTTTTCAGTATTTTGTAGTCAGATTTGTTTGACTCAATCATTTTGGCAATATGAAGATTTATGAGTATTCACGTGGCAGATGCAAGTACTTGGCTTGGCTCTGCCCACCTCAGGGTCAGATCAGGGATGTAGAAGGAGCTGGGGTAGCTGCATGCAAACCAGGTCATGACTTGAAGGAGTGTGTGGTAGCTGTAGTGAGATGAGTCTCTGCTATTTGCAGGTACTGGATGAGAAATCTGCTCAGCACTGCTGGTCATAGCATGGGTTTGACACCTCAGGTCTCAATGAAGTTGGGGAGACAGTGCTGTTTGGTCAATTGCATTTTGTGCAGGCACTGAAACATGCTGGGGAGGTTAAATCAAGGCAACAATATCCTCATCCAGCTGAGGGCAATAAAAACAGTGCAGGAAGGTGAATGTTCTGGAAAACTACTGCAGTCTGTTATGAGGCATGTTGCAATGGTAAAGTGCATGCTATGCTTTCCTTAAAAAGCAGGAATTTACATGTGATTGTTTCATTTGGACTTTTAATTTAAATTTGAACCTTTTTTGCATATTTTCCTCTCCCATAATTTATGACTTATCCCTTTTTAACACAGCATCCTTAGCTGTAGATGAAACCAACTTTCTTGACTGGCTGAAAATCAGAAGTATAATAAACCAAATAATTTCTTAGATTATGATTAATAACTGTACAACAGAGAACTCACTGAGTCGAATATCATCACACAAATAAATAGAAAGAGAAGGTCTTCATATACATGCTATCTTCATTTAAGAAAAGAAAATCTAAACTACACTAGGGGTCACTGCAGGTGAACCTTAGAAATTCTGAGCCTCTGAATTCATTTACAGAAATCTCAGGAAAACAAATGTAGACTGCTGTAGTCATCCTTACCTGTTATTTCAAATTTCTCCCAAGTTTAGGCAGGGCTAAAAAAAAAAGAAAAATCAGGTCAGCTCTTGCAGGCATATTATTATTTTGACAATATTCCAAAAGCTGTGCAGGCTGGTAATATCTACATAAGGAAGAGAAAAATTTAAAACCAGACATTGTAGTCCCAGGCTAGAACTTCTTTTCCTGAGGGACACAAAGGATAGCCAGCAAAGAGCCCCCCAGATGACTGAATAAACACTGCTCTGGAGTTCCTCATGACTATAGGTCTTTTGTTTTGTACTACTGTGGTCATGCTTATTATTCCCATGGTGCCCAGGAGACCTAAGCAAGGGTGAAAATCCTGTTCTGTACCTCTAAACAGCTACTTGGAAAAACAACCCCTGTTCCAGAGAACTTACTGAGAAGAGACTGTATTTATAAGATGAGTAAGGTTGTTTTCAATAGTGACGGGTAAGCATACTCAAATATACCCTCACAAATACACTACTATTCAACTAAAAAATATGTTTTCCAGGTAAATAAAGAAACATGTGTATTCATATCAATATTGGGAGCTGTGTCTATCTCCAACTTCTGAAAATTCAACTCTATGTACATGAAAGTGGAAAACAACAGCTGGGAGGGAGGGAATTAGGAGTACAAATGAACACCAGACCCAGCTGTAGATTTGCATTCTTTGACATCTGGTGCTGAGTAGACACTGGGGAATTCTGTGACAACATGAGATTTTTTGCATCTGTCAGCTAAATCTAGCAATTCTCTTTGGGACAATTGCATGGATGAAGTTGATCTCAGAGAGCTGTTTTGAGCCAGAACAAAACAACAGAAGAAGACTATATCTGATTCGGACCTCAAATTCACAGAGCTGGCAGGTTGCATGAATTGGAATCACACATCTGTTCTGTAAGAATTTGTAAGACAGCTTCCATAAAACACCAAATTGTTTGATTTCAGGACTGCTTTGATTTGGGGCCACTAGAGCCTTTTGAGTTGAGAGTGGTGCATGTATTTGTCTGTGTGCACATACATGTATGTGGGTAATTCAGTTAAAGGGCAAAGACCTATACAGTTTAAAAACTGGACTTTCAACACTTCTCTGAAGATTATTGGAAAATCATACTAAATCCAGATACTCAAGGAAAAGAAGGGTTGTGACCATATGAAGCAATCCCCTGATCTGAAGTAATCCTGCCCTTACCTTTGTACTTTTACCTCATTCCAGTACAGCTGACCCTTTTATTTTTTTTAAGATGAGAAAAAAATCTTGTGCCTTACGCCAAACCCGTTTGTGGTTTACATACAAACAAAGGAGCGATAGTTTGGGCACCAAAGACATTTCACCTCATTATACATCGTAAATCCTCTTGTGCTCTCTTTATCATTGACATTATACAGTGTTTGACACTACACATTGTAAAACATCACTGACAAATGAAATCAGATCACTAATTCATGGAATCTTGCTTTAATCTGTGCTTCACAGTAACTGCCATTCTTAAGAAGGGAGCTACTTAATTTAACGGGACTCTTCTTCGTATGCCATCAGGATAAACACACACCTCATCTGAAAGCATTTAAGCTCCCTTCCTCATAACTCTGGATAACCAGGGGTGGGAGTAGACAGGCCAGGTGCTGTGAAGTCTGTGGCTGTGACCTTTCCACCTCAGACATCTGAGAGCACACACTGCAGCAGCGCTAATGAAAGTGCTCTTTCTCGATGAACTCATGCTTCACAGTCCCTGCCATGGTATATTGCATAATCTGGGATGATGTAAAAATGATCTACAGTGCAGAAGATGAAATAAGACTACTTCCTTCCTCATCTTCCTCTCAGATAGGCTGCTTGAATAGCTTTTGTTTTGGGATGACCCTTGTTCCAAGTGATTTCTGCACAGAAAGGAAAGCAAAGAGCTCTTTACAGCTGCTGCTTGTAGATCATACGTGTGGACTCTTCAGATATAAATCAATAGGACCATTTATTTCTATGCTGTTGTCTAGTCCCCATTATCTGCACACACTAATCAAATTTAAGCCATTTTCAGATACAGTGATCAAACAAGTTATTGTATTAGAATGTTGTTCTTTTAGTGACAAGTGTCATTGTGCTATTGCCATGAATATCTGAAGAAATACTCTGAGCTGCTTTGGCTCCCAGTTGTCTCTTTGCAAAGTAATCTTTGTGCTACACATGGGGTGGCAAATGTTTCTCTAATACAACCCCTCACTCCTTTAATTATGGCTCATTACACTGTGAAGGAAAAAAAGCAACTAAAGTTCTTAAATACCGTATTAATGACAGCTATAAATGTAGATATTACCTTAGCAGTGCTGTAATGGAGTCTGGTATGCTGAATAAAAGCCCAAAATTTTCTAAAAATATAGTGCTGTAACTATGAAAGAGACACAGGTGGGAACTTGCCAGGAGAAAATAGGCTTGGTTGACAACTTGTGGCTGACAAATGCTAAAATCCAATTTCTGAGAAATTCTCTGCTGGTTATGAATCAGGCATGAGAGAAACTTTGCTCCCTTGAGACAACTGTGGCGTTTTTGCTCTGGATATAGATGCAGGTCCTTAAAAACAGAATGTATTTACAGCCTGTAAGATGCATGCTATTTTTAATAACGATCCTCAATAAGCTAACAAATATTTTTTGTTTATATTAGAAAGTGTTGGTATGTCTGTGTGTTTTTCTGTGTGTCTATGCATATGAATGCAACCCTTGCCCATACTATACAACCTGTGGGGGCCACAATCGGTGGTATTCAAGTCATGTAATTAATTAAGCCCAGGCCACCCTAAGGCACAAGTCCCAGGGTGTGCACACATCAACCTTTCTAAAACTGGATCACTAGTTTACAACACTGACACGCCCAAGCAAGGGACTGACATTAACCTCGTGATAGATTTAAATCATTCCAGGCAGTCTGTTTTGAATTTCCAAATGTGCCGTACTGTTCTAATGAGTTAATTCATTTGGTGTCCATTTCCTCCTGTCAGCTGCTTTTGGAAAATAAATTGTGCATTGTTATCTTAGCCTTGTCTATCCTATTAATGGTTTAGGAAATGCAGCTGAAGATTATCTGGAGTTTTCTATGGCAAAGGTTGACCTGTGACAATGTAATGATCAATCACATCTTGAAGGAGTCAGAAACTGCAAAATCGTTATTTTGTTTTCTGTCTACAGTGTAGTTTTCTAGAAAAAAAGTCTTCCACCATTTGTGCAGAGGGGCAAAAACAAAGTGTTGTCCAGAATTTCTAAAAAACATCCACTTCAGTGTTTAAATGTCATCCACCCAATGAGGGTAGATATAGCAATACACTACAAATCCCACATTTCCCAGCAGTACATTAGAAGTCTTCGCAGTTGCCTTCTTGTTAGGTGTTAGTGATTATATTGGCAATACCTGGATGGTTTCCAGTGCTTCATGGTGCCCTATTAGGCTAGGTGTGAGTGGGGATGGATGTAGTGCTCCCACCCCCAGCATCTGACAACGTCAGACTCACAAAAGAAGGACCCTGGTGTTTCTCAGATGCTCATCTCCTTCAGCTGCATGGCACTGCCTTCACCTGTCAAATCCTGCCCCCTGCTCCCCAACACATGTTAAAGATGGCACTACTTGTATCCTCTAATCCACTCTGGTGAGAGGCACTGCTTTTAACTGGTCCTGCCTGAGTTTAGAAAACAAAGCTACCCAGGGTGTATCTGATTCCTGTTGAAGAGCTGGAAAAAATTCCACAAGAGACAATTCCTGTCTATTAATCTATTAGCTGGCAACAATACTCTTCCCCGCTCTTTCCAACCCTACCACCACTTCCAAAAACCCAGTTTTTCTTTACAAATCTTCCTCAGTTTCCTAGGAAGCATTTCAAATCTTCTCTTCTATGATTATTCCAGCAACTAATTTTTTAGAAATGCCTAGATATCTTTTCTCCCTGGTGTTCTGGCTGTGATGCCCATGTCAGCTTTTTGCACTGCGCTGTGCGCTAACCCCACTGCGGCACACAGCACAGCGTTACTCGTGCCCACACTCTCCCTTCTCTCCAACCACAATTAGATCATCTCAAAATATCTGTACTGCTCAGAGGCTCTAGATCTGATGTGAGGGTTCACAGATTAATTTAGCACAACTAGTTTACCTTGGGATTTAAACAAGCTACTATTTTAACAGCCCTGAATCTTTTTGGCTGTCCCTGTGCTGAAGTCCTATGCTTCCCACAGGATCTATGGGAATAAAAAGTGTATAAAAAGAAAAAGAAGCACAAAATTCTTAGCCTTTCAGCCCTTCATTTCCCTGTGACTTTCAGACAGTTCTGACTTGCACACTGGAGAGACTCAGAGTTATTTTTTTTTATGAGAAACAGATTGAATGCACAGGTTTTCATTGATCTCAGTGCAAGTGAAGTTCACCTCTCTGAAGAATCCCCAAAGAGTCTAACACATGGTTCCAGGAATAGTCAGGACCTTGTACTTGAGTCTGTTTTCTCCTGCACTTCCCCTCTCCTCAGCAGGTGGTGGAAAGACCTCTTTATTTTCCCTCATTACTCTTTTCATTGCTGCAGATGGCTTTGACCATTTTAGCCTTACTTTAACTTCAGCCACCAAAGCGGAGCCCTGAGTTGCCCTTTAATCCTGAACTAAGGGCTGAGCAGGAGCAGAAGCTGCTTACACAGTAGTGAGGAAATCCATTCTCTGAGAAGGAATTCTCTACAGCCTCACGTGGCACTGCCTGAGCACAATCCTCACCAGCACTGATGTGATGCACAAAATTGAGCTGGCCCAAACAACTTGCACACTGTGCACATCTGAATTTCCATTTTCTCACGGTGTTCCACAGTGAGCATAAAAACCCCCTTCCCTTCTCTGGAGGTGCTGGTGACTCTTGGATGGCTCTGTGTACCTTGTGTGGCCTGCATGGGCCTGGCTTTTTACTGGTGTCTGTGGATAGCTCATACTTCTCCTGGTGTTGAAGAGCTGCAGCTGTGCAGCTGCACATCTGCATGATACTCCAGGGAGAAATGGACCACAGTTTGATGTTCATAAATAGCCTCTCAAATCCAGGATCTGTGTAAGAAAATGCTGTCAATGCTTCTATTTCAATTGTATCCTTGTTTTTACAAAATGATAACAATAATAAAAAATGTCCTGTGTTCTCTGTAACAAAAATTGGTGAAGACCCAGTGGAGTCTTCAAATTACATCAAATATGCATCAAATATGCCAGCAGAGAATTTGGCCCATGAAGGGAAGAGAAGTCTCAGTAATGTTTTACTCTCAATACTAATATTTATTTTTCTTATTGCCAATACCAAAAAATAATTTTCTCTGTTCAGAACTCTGAAAGCAATTTTAACTACCAAGAATATAGCTTTTCAACAGAAAAATAAAGAGTAAACGATGACAATTTACAATAACAATATTACTTTAGCCTTAATTTTCAAGTGAAAACATTACTGAACTAAATTTCAGATAGCGTTTTATTATGTGCAAACCACTGTTGATATAATAACTTCTATTTTAGGTTGCTAGCAAAGAAAAGAACAATGTGACCCATTTAATAACTGGCTCACAGAAAAATATTAGCAAGCCATTTATCATTTCTATTTAATTTTGGTGATAAGCACCTTTTGATAGAAACATTTCTTTGTTACAAAACTAGCAGTAGTATAGGATATATTTGACCATAACACACGTGCTTTGCAATGGTACTGAGAAATGGACTTTCTGTTTGTTGCCAATTGCTTGGAAAATAAATTAAAAAAGGGAAAATTCTCACCTTTGAATTTTTTAGCAGATGGAACCTGATTTTTGAAATCTTTGATTAAGAGGCAAATCACACACAGCTGGAGTGCTGGATACAGCTAGAAAAAAGCAATCCAAGAGGTCTCTAGAGTGCATTGAAGGACAATAATGCAAAAAATATTGCAAAATTAATAATAATAATGATAATAACAACAACAATAATAATACTAAAATTTCTGATACAGGTGACTGAGGAGGTGAAGAGAGATGCTCTGCAGGATCTGATTTTCACAAATTAAGATGAACTGGTTGGGAATCACAGAATCACAAGGTTGGAAGAGACCTTCGAGACCATCAAGACCAACCCAGCTCTAACACCTCAACTAAACCATGGCACTGAGTGCCACATCCAGTCTTTTTTTAAACATAACCAGGGATGGTGAATCCACCAACTCCCTGGGCAGTGGAGTATTTTATCATTCTGTCTGTAAAAATCTTTTTCCTAACATCCAACCTAAATTTCCCTTGGCACAGCTTAAGACTGTGTCCTCTTGTTCTGTCAGTTGTTGTCTGGGAGAAGAGACCAACCCTCACCTGACTACAGACACCTTTCAGGAAGTTTCAGAGTAATCAGGTCACCTCTGAGTCTCCTTTTCTCCAGGCTCAACAACTCCAGCTCCCCCAGTCATTCCTCACAGGGTTTGTGTTCCAAGTCCCTCACCAGCCTCGTTGCCTCCTCTGGATGCGCTCCAGTGTCTCAATGTCCTACAGGAGAAGAATGCCCTCCCTGCTCCTGCTGGCCACACTACTCCTAATACAAGCCAGGATGGCGTTGGCCTTCCTGGCCACCAGGGCACAGGGCTGGCTCATGTTCAGTTGGCTGTCACCAGTACCCCCAGGTCCCTTTCTGCCTGGGCACTGTCCAGCCACACCGTCCCCTGTAACATTGCAGGGGGTTGTTGTGCCCAAAATGCAGGACTTGACACTTGGACTTATTAAACTTCATCTTATTGGACTCTGCCCATCCATCCAACCATTCCAGGTCTCTCTGCAGAGCCCTCCTGCCTTCCAACAGATCGACACACACTCCCAGCTTAGTGTCATCTGCAAATTTGGTAACAAAAGACTCAATACCCTCATCCATGTCATCAATAGAAATACTGAACAAAACAAGCCCCAGTACAGACCCCTGACTGTGAGTGCCAGGAGCAGATGGAACTCAGGATCCTGAGAGAAGACAGCAATTTAACAATCCTGGACATCAGGAAAGCAAACAATGGGACCTGCTTGGAAGGATCCCATGTGACACCCTCTTGCAGGAGAGAGGAGTCCAGGAGGGCTGACTGATTTTTAAGGATCTCTTCTTCCAGACTCAAGAGTTGTCAATTCCCATCTGCAGGAAGTAAAACAAAGGTGGGAGGAGGCCTGCATGAATGAACAGTAAGCTCAAAGGTAAAAAAGAAACATTCAGGAGGTGGAAGTAGAGTTAGGTGATATGGGAGGAATATAGAAACACTGACCAAGCATGCAGGGATCAGGTTAGTAAAGTCAAAGTGCACTTGGAGTTAAATCTAGCTAGAGATTGTGAAGGGCAAAAAAGGAGGTTTCTATAGGTACATCAGCAGCAAAAGGCAGACTGGGAAAAATGTTGGCCAAGTGCTGAACAGGGCAGGTGACTGGGTGACCAGGGTACTCAGTGCTCTTTTCTCATTGGTCTCTACTGGTAAAACCAACCTGCAGGGATCTCAGGGATCTCCATGTGTCCCTAAGAGATATGGAAACATATGGAATAAACAAGAATTGCAATTGTTGGAGAAGGACTGGATTAGGGATTAGGGCACATTTACACAGCTAAAATGAACACAAGTAAATCTGATGGGATGCAACCACAAGTGCTGAGGGAGCTAATATCACTGCAAGACCTTTCTTGAAATGTCATCAGGGAAGGGTCCTGAGGACTGGAAGAAAGCCAGTGTCACTCCTTGCTTCAAGAAGAAACTACAAATCTGTTGGAGCAGTAAGGTGTTATCTTGAGTTTAGCAAGGTGTTTGACACTGGCAGCTGTAACATCATCCTTCCTGGTAAATCAGTGATGTACAGACTAGATAACAGGACTGAGTTGGACTGAAAATTTCCTGAACTTTTGTGCTGAAAGGACTGTGATCAGCCACACAAAGCTCACCTGGCAGTCACTCATCAGAGGTGTACACTGGAGATTGATATTGGGGCCAAAAGTGTTCAACATCTCCATAAGATAGCTGGACAGTGGGACAGAGTGATTCCTCAGCAAGTTTGCAGATCACAGAAAACTGGAACGAATGGCTGCTATACCAAATGTTTCTGACTGGAGAAACATGCTGACAAAAACCTTTTGAAGGTCAAAAAAGGGAAATGTCCTTTTCAAAGAAACCTACAGTTTCTGCAGGTACCCAAAAAAGCTGTGGGGTCAACCAGCTAAAAAGCAGCATTAATACTAAGGACCTTCTGGGCTTCATTAGGAAGAGAGTTTCCAGCAGGTCAAGGGAGCTGATCCTGCCCCTCTACTCAGCGCTGTTGAGTCCACATCTGTAGTTCTGGGTCCTACTCTGGGCTGTCCAAGACAAGAGAGATATTGAGCTACTGGAAAGAGTCCAGTACAGGGCCAAGAAAAAGGTTAAGGAACTGGAGTGTCTCCCCTAAGAGGAAAGGCTGAGATAATGAGATAAGCCATGAGATAAGAAAGCTCAGGGGGATCTCATCAGTGTGAATAAATATCTGGAGGAGGTGACTGAAAAGGATGCAGTCAGGATCTTTGCAGTGGTGCCTAATGACAGGACAAGAGTCAACAGAGCAAATGAAACAGGAAATTTCACTTAGGTGTAAGAAAAACAATAATTTCTGTGAGAGTGGTTAAACATTGGCATAGTGTTCCTGCAGAGGTGGTGGATTCTCCATCCTTGGAGATATCCAAAACCCAATAATAATAAGACACGGCCTTGAAAATCTGCTTTAAGCTGACCCTGCTTGGAGCAGGGGCTTGGGACTAGTTGGTTTCTAGAGGTACCTTCCAACCTCAGCCATTCTTTGAAATTATAGCTTATATAATAAACAAAAAAGTTGGCTCTGTAGGAAGCCCCATGTCACAGGCTGGATGCAATCATGCTCTTCTGCTGCTAATAAGTTCTGTTAGAAAGAATTCATGTAAAAACCTTCAGGGTGTAAGTGCATGTAGGATCCTGGCATTGAGGGAGACAGCAGGGAGCTTTTGGCACCTGTTTCTGGGGTAGATGGGGGATGCTTTGCTGCTCCTCCCCAGATGCATTCTCTAGAGGCTGGGCTTTCCCGTCCTCAGGAAGGGATCACAGTCAGCATGATGACCTTGGTCTGTCAGTCTGCTGGAGAGCTGGAGCGAGCTGCTGGTGGGGAACAGCTGGCTCTGCTGGCATTGGGGCACCTGGGGAGCCCTTCTCTCAAGGAGAAGCTGCAGCTGATTTTTCCAGCCTACTTTCTAGACCTTTTGTGCTGATCTCACAAACCACAAAGGGAATAGAGCAGGCCTGGGAATATGTGTGAAAAAATATCTCCCCCAGCCTTTTTCATACTGAAGAGAAGGAGTATGTAGCAGCATGACTTTGGTATCAGTTCCACAGAGATATAACCACTTTGGATATCAGCTTTTTCATTTTTTAGGAAAACTAATTTTCTCCCCAGGTTTGAATTAGACAAAGTAATTTTATTTTCTGTCCAATTCCTATTACTGTTATGACTATTATCAGCAGTGAATTGTTTTGAACACCAAGCATAAGAAGAAAGACATATTTTTTTTTTTTCCACATCATCCTTTCACTAATAAATTTTGGCCTAGACCACTTACTCTGTTTAGGATTAATGCATTCATGAGTCTTATTTTCAGTAGCTATGAAGAAAAGACATTTTAAAGCAAATTTAGGTAGGTGATATCTTCTCTAATACATTTTTAATGTATGAGACATTGTAAGGACCAGAAGAGCATTCTGTGCTCTGCAATACAGTTTGACAACTAAAAATAAAAACCAAACAAAACCCAACCCAATAAAAAGGAAAGTAAGATAAAAACAAGAAAACAGAGCATATGGAGAGTGTGAAAGATACAGCCATGCTATTAGTGTCCAGTTAGCTAATTTTATTGTGATTTCCAACATGTGAAAGATGAATATGATAACTGGTGGGGGTATGAAGATGTTGTGATATTAATAAGAATGTAATTCCATAAGAAATTGTCTTGTGATTTATATCTAATAATATTACTGAAATGAGGCTAATGAAGGCAATCAATCCTATATAATACATTTTTGTAAATCTGATTCTCAAAGCATTTCTGATAGAAAGAGGATAGGTTTATCTTCTCCCAGCAATCCCTGCTGACATGAGAACTCCCACTGTAATCAATCGACAAGCAGACAGGGGAGTAAATAAACCTCCGTGGATGCACTTCTGCTCTGCCTTGGCTTTGTAGTTCCTCTCTCATGGCAATGTCCTTAGAGTCACATTTTCTGTAAGAAAACTTCTCCAGTGGATCTGGAGTGCAGTCTCAGACCTTACTGATCTACTAATGAACTCTGCCTGCTACGAAAGTTGCCTTTGTTCTTGCTGACTTGGGTACAGATCACAAAATCCTTTGCTGTGCTATATCAGTCTCCCCCGACCTGTGGGTATTTATGCAATTAGCTGGTCTACACTGCACCCCATGATGCTTGGTTTTACTGATATTACACTAAAGGAAGGCAAGCTTCATTGTATTTACCTGTTCTGTAGGAGCACTGCAGACTGCAGTGCATGTTTTCCTACCCCAGCCTCCCTTTCTCTAAGCAACTGAAATCAGCTTCAGTAAGATTTAGCAGATTCCTGAAAACATACAGACAGAAACTTATTTCCCTCTTTGTCCTCTTCCTGGTCTGTTTCATTATCCATTTTCCTTGGAAAGGACAATGCGATTTATAACGTGTATCTTTATAGCATTTGGAAGAACATCTATTTCTTCAGAGAAATGTCATGAGATATATATATAAAAACAGAGAAATTTTAGAAATCTGGCACTACTTTACATTGCTTGAAGTACAGACTCATAGTTCTTATGAGGGGATATCTACAGTGAAATTACGAATCTCAGGAAAAATTTTGTGGATGTTAAAGTATGACCGCTGTTCTGAGTAGACTGTGAAGACAAGCTTCCACATGCATTTATCTCCTCATGCCCAACACCTTCCTCTTCAGGATTTTGGAAATGGACATTCTAGCAGAGGTTTCTGTCTCTGTCACCATGCTTATTTAAGTCAATGGCAATAACCTTTTTGATGTCAGTGAGGCAGGATAAAATCTTGTGTAGACAGCATTCACATCTATCCCCATGTCAAGAATCTTGCTGACATCTGGTTGACACCTTACATTTCCACCTCACTCAAATACTTAAGTAAGCACAGATATGTGACAGCAAGGAGGTATAATGGTGAAGAAAAGGATGCGAATATAAGGTTGGATTAAAGGTGTAGTGCTATAGACAAGATCATACCATCTATTTTTCTGTGCAAGTTTTTTCTATATCTTAGTCCAAGCAGCTATTGAGACAAGCAGCATGAAGCACAGGAGTTTAGGGGCAAAAATATATTTGAACCATCAGATGCTTGGAAAAACTGAAGTCTTATCTGAGCTTGGTGAGAAGAGCCTGAGAAATGACATTGGACTGGAGAAACAACAGTGACATGGCAAACAAGGGAATGGCTACTGGTTTCAAAAGAAAAACAGTTGATGATATTTTGTCAGAAAAGGAAAGGTTTTATTCCTGGCTGTTTTTTTGTGTTGGAGGTTTCTTATGAAAACCACTTAGCACAGAGCAGATTAGATCCTGGCACTGCTGTGCTGTCATCACTGTAAATTCATTAATGTTTCACGGAACTGTTCTAATGCCATTAGACTGCCCCATGTCACATGTGTTGTGTCTATGAATGCTCTCTTTGTCTCCCTGCCTAGCAAGGAAGGTAAAAGGCACTGGAATTGAACTGATTCTTCAAGCTGAGAATCTTTGCAATCCATAAATAAAGTAAGTCCCTTCAGCTTAACATTCATTGCCTCCTTTCTCATTTAGAAACAGATGTCAGCACAAGGAGAAGGCAGGTGCAGAGTGCCTCTTTCAGCTGCTTTTGAAGGAAAGCAGGAAGTGAATAAGTCACGGGGAGCTGTGCTGTTTGGATCTTTAGAAAGCATTTATAGCTTCTAGATATGGCCCTGCTAATGAGGGTGTGAGATGCCAGCTCTTTAGAAGTTAGAACGTGAACTGCTGCACTCTCATCAACTGATGGATGTAGTGTGTGTGGGAATATAATTTAAACATGAAAATATGAGGAATGATTTATTACCACAGAAAGTACTTAAGGAAAAAAAAAAGTCTAGTGCAAAGATGTCTGGTGTAGTTGAATGTTATATAAACTACAAAATTAGTTATAAACTGGAAACTCCTGAATGGATGCTCTCCCTACACTGCAGCACTCTCTGAAACTGCATATAAATACTCTGAATAGTAGCTGTAAGATATTACAATTTAAAACAGCCAGACTCCTGAACCTAAAGAAGGCCACAAAGTGATTGTTGCAAATCGTACCAGTGCTGTTAAAGCCAGCAGCAATGTTATCTAAGAGCACACTATGTATCTGGGTGTGTGGTGAGAATCTGAATACTGCCATTTTCCCCCTTAGGCAGTCCAACTTCCACACAAAACTGTGTCCTTTTTTTAATGAGGGCAAGATCAGACACAATGTGATCCCTGGTCTCTACAAGATGCCAGACTGAGGTGAGCAGGAAAGAATAAACAGCACTATAGCCTCTCTCTCCTCTCTTTCCACATCTATCAAGTTTGATGTGGGTGGAAACACGTTATTCATTGTAAAGAGCTGGCACAATTTGCCCTCATTAGCAAAGCATGCCCACTTTTTATTGCCACTCTTGCTGTACTTCATTTGAAACGCCACACTGCAGGGATTTTGCAGTCTGGGATTTTAACTATGAAAGGAGAAGTTTACAAGAAAAATGCCTGCAGCTTCCTGAGCTTGATGCACTGCATTGTCTGGCATGGATTTCACTTCACCCGTGACACTGAAAAAGCACTGCCACAGAACAACTTGTTTTGATGCCCTATGCTAGCAAAGAAGTTCTGTGATAAACAAGCTTTTAATCCTGTATTTCCACACTTTTACTAAGCAAATTGCTACTTGACAAAGCTGTGTGTCAATGACTGTGCCAAAAGCTCAGCCCTGAACAGAGATGGTAAAAGAGGGTAGGAGAGAAAGGGCTCACAGGAAGCACACAGAAGTATTGTACTTTAGAAATTTTGTCACTTTGTCAGTGCTTTGATTCAGTGCCATCAGTCCTACTGCAGCAGGCCTTCTACTAACTGCTAGTGTAGACAGTCCAGGAAAACTCCCAAGAAGCTATAAATGATGCTTGTGACCTGAAAAGCATCTTCTGCCTCCCTGAATTCTAAAGAGGGATCTGCCAAAGCAAAAAACGTGCCGGGACTCACGAGGAGTCTGCCCTTTCATGTGATAAGGTCTCTATGGAAAGAGCTGTAGTGTAATCAAAGTAGCCAAATCTCAGCATTAGATTTTCGGGAAAAAGCCCTGCTGGCCTCTTCCATATGACGCCAGTCCATGTGTGTCACAGGGAGCAGCTGGTGAAGAGCCATCTTCTGCATGGAGGGAACACCCAGCACTAAAATATGTGTTAACATGCCCAAGACAGAATTTTTCAGTGCCAAAATTAGTGGTTTGGGAAGCAGCAGAGGAATGTACATAGCAGAGGACCTTTTCTGCTTACCTGAAAGTCGTCTTGTTGCCTGAAATCTTCAAAATATCCTCAAGTATTGCACTGTCTCCTGCTGCTACTCCTCTGTTCCCTTTTCAGATGAAGAGAGGCTGAGCTTATCTGCTTTGCTGATGCAGATACAACAAAGCACACTATGCTATGAACTAGCTCCCTTCCTGTGGAACAAACATTAGGAAGCAGCTGAAGAGATATTCAAGACTCAGTGTAAACCAGAAAATGTCTGTTTTCAGATTCCTGAATGGGAGGGTGCAGACTCTGTAATACAAAATCTAATCACAAGAATAAAAAGTCTGATATCAAACTCTTCTTTTTAGTGAAGGAATCTTCTCTGATGCTTTCTCCCCTGCCCTTTTTATACAAAACTGAAGTACACAGATGCATTGCAGGACATTGATAAAGTATTGGAGCCACTGCATGGCTCTAAATTACAGCACAGAAATCTGGAACATTTTTGGAAAATATTTCATATTCAGTGTGGGAAAGTATTTTTATTTTTAAAGGTTTGAAGTTGTTCAGTGGCTTGGAAAGTTACCAGTTCCTTTTCATTTCTGAATATGAACATTTCTGTGTCTGTGCAAGATCTCAAATTTTGAGGCTGTGGTTCTTTTTACCACACATCTAATTTGTGCCAATTTTTTTACATTGTTTTTGATGATATTTCCGCCCTGGAAGAATACAAATTCAGGAAATCAGTGTTCAATGTTTCTATACAAAACATTTAAATTAGAACAAAATCAGTCGCTTTTTCCTGGTTAGCTACATGACACATGATTAATGATTGGTAAAATATAAATCTGAATGGAAATATCTCCTCTTCCAAGGTTCCAGTTGATCAGTTTTGAATTGCCAGACTGAGGATGTGATCTAAGAGCTTCTCTAGCAGCATTACAGTGACACACTGCCTGTCATTTACTGCCTGTCTTCCTTTTAAGTACTTGCTCCTTCATAATTATTATCTACAGTTGGCCACTGGACTTTGAAACTGCAAACTGCTTTCCATATCTTTTGTTTCCTGCTGTGTATACATTGAAATCACATGGTTTGTTATCTGTCACTAAGATTACAAGCAGCATGACTTAAAAGGAAAAATGTAGAAAAATGTCAATGAAAAGAGGGAGCTCTTTACTGTCTATAAAATGTGACACATCTCTGTAACCAAAAATAGAGCAATAGTACTTGGAATCTGGTGAATAGAAAAAAAAAAATAGCAGAAATAAGTAGAAAAAGCCTAAACAAATATTGATATGTGGTAGAAATCTCAGGCTATAAAAATATTGATGTACACTTCAGGAAAAATCAATAACCAGGTTTCACACAAATTTGGAACAATTTTTAACTACATTAATTAGAGAAGAAACTCAAAGTCATTACTGGCTGAGACTGTGCATTTTTTGATGGTGATAAAGAGATAAAATATTCATAAATATTTTAGGAGTTTTATTTTTGGGGAGGAGTCTGGTCTGCTTACATCATGAGTGGTTAAAGAATTTTTCATTTTATTAATAACTGTTATTATGCAATAACATAAAGTTAAAATCTGATTTAAATGTATGTACCTAGATAGGAACTTACCAGATTCTCTCAGAATCCTGGAGTTTTACAGGAACTGGCTGAACAGATCCTTTGTTCTGTAAAATTTTAACAAATACAGGAAAATGTTATAAGACATAAAAAATGTTAGCATTATGTAAATATTAAAGAAAAAAAAGAGAGAACTGAGATAATTTAGGTAATTACTGTCTGGTTTGACAAAAGTAGCAGAAAAACTACAAAAAATATGGGACTACAGTTACAAAAACTTGATGTAGAGGACTAATGCTAGTGACAATAGCTTTATTAGAAGTATGCCTTGCCAAAGAAACCTATAATGAGATTACAGATTTGTTGAGGCATATGATTTCTTAGTCTAAAACCAAACTGATTATAAAGGAATGCTAGGGCTCATTCAAATGAATGGCATTTTAGGTCAACATAACACAAAATTATAATGCAGCCTGTCCACATTCTGTAGACTGGCTCCTGGATACCCTGACTCACAAAGAGGATTTTATGTTTATACTAAATCACAGCAAACAAGAGAGCCAATATTTGATTCAACAGCAAAAAAAAGCCTAATGTGAATCCTAAATGCGCTGATAAAAAAGAAATAAATGTGTACCTAGAGGTGAAACAAGAGCCACACAGGAGAATTGCAGTGTCTGTTTTTTAATGAAAAAAATAGGAAAATGTGCAGAAAAAAGCCAAACCTAAGATATCTTGGTCTTAACCCTTTATTAAGTGTTAATGACTTCTTTTTGTTTAGACCTCACAGAGGGGGCCAGACTAACACAGGTGAGTACATTAGAGAGAAAACACAAAGCAATAAAGGCTCTCCTGTCAAGGCTAACAAGCATAACATGAATTGAAAGTTAAAGCCAGAAAAATTCAAATTAGAATTGAATACCCATTAGTTAACACTGAAAGAGATTAACCACTGGAACAAGCTCTCAATGTAATGAATTCTTCATGTCTTGATGTCTTCAGGTCAGGCATTTCTGAAAAATGTGCTGTGGCTAAACACAAGTTATTATTTATTGATAGTCAAATAATTAGCTTAATACATGAGCAATTGCATGAAATGTAATAACTTATGATACAGGAAGACAAATTGTGCTCTGAATGTATGATTTCATAGCTTTTCCAGAATGGGGCACATGAGCACTTTGCCAGCTATGAATGTATGGATACTGGCACATTGGTAAGTGAAACTTAGTAGAATGAATGATGAACAGACACCCCTTTCTCCATCATTTTACAGACTCAAATATGTTGTTATCTCCTTGCCACTTCATGCTGATCAGTGCTTCCTCTTTCTCACAAGCTTCCCAGCTGAAAAGGCAGCACCTGTAAGCCAACACCTGCTTGTGCTCTTCTAGTGAAAAAAATGATCAGGCCCATTATTTAGCTCATCCTCTCCTTTTATTTTAAACTGTAGAAGGTATTATATCTTTCCCTGATTCAGTGCTTCTCTTTGAAACATTTAATTTGCAAGTGGTAGATTCAACATTTATCAGTTCCACTGACAAAAAGCCACTCCTTTTCAATAGCTATTAGATGAAATTCATAATCCTTCAAGAATCTCATTTAATGTTAAAGATCTGAAATTATTACAGCTAGGTAAGTACATATTTATCATCTCCTTATTGCAGATTTCCCCCCTGAGCTTCCCATCTTCTTCCTTTAATTTGCATCTGGGTGTATCTTTAATTTTGCTTCCTTCCTAAAGAAATATAGAAGTTTTGCCATGTCAGGGCCCTTGATTATCATCTGCATTCTGTGTTTCAGAAACATCTTATTTCATCCTTTAACTGCCTTTTCCTTTTAGCCTGGTAGCAGAAAAAAAAAAATCTCACTTCCCTTCTAGTCTTCTGTTGTCTTCAGGAATTCACTTTATTTTTGTGCTTACTTTACTTCATCAGCAATTCCTGTTGTGTCTACCATTTTTTCTAATTCTTTATGCATTTTTTTTTTCCCAGGGCTAGATCCTTTTAGGGAAAGAAAAAGCTCCAGGAGACTACATAGATTACTCTCTAAATTTTTTAGTGTGCCCTTAAATATACTGTACTTTATTATTATTTCTTTTGTTCCCTTTTGATGGTAGTTTTCTCAGTCATTAAAAATTACTTCCTATTACTTGTGTTTTCTTTAAAAATCTTGACAGTATCACCCTGTAGTTTTAGTGTCCTCAAGCTGTATGTCTAAATTCTCATGGGCATCCACATTGGTCCTGCTTTATGCATTTGAACACTGGGAGAATACCAGGTTTCTGGCTTGTTCCCATTCCCCCCTCATCTCTTGTGCATGTAAAAGGTTTATAACTATACTGTAGAAAAACATCTGTACACACTTGCAGATCAATATGTTGATCTTTAAATTCCCCACCCAAACCATGCATATTGTAAAGTGAAACATGTGAAGTGTGTTTAGGGACAGTCTGCTGTGCTATTAGCTGGCAAAACCAGGAAGCACAAATTTACACTTACAGACCATAAAAGCATACAAGGCCATGGAAACCACCCTTTGGTGTAGATATAAGTGGAAGCTGGGATTCAGCTGACATATTTTTGCAATGTTTGCAGGATGGCGTTTGCCAATGTAAACCTGACTTGCAAAGATACAGTGTCTTTCACTGTGAATGTTTCATTTTTTGCTATAAATGGCCCCTTTATTGGAAATGGTCTCCCTTTACTTTTTCATCTTGGGCTGTTTGAACTACCCAACCAAATTTTCCATTCTGTAACACATTGCTGCAGATGAAGAAAATAAAAACAGGGAAATATTATTATTCCAGGAATTCTGGAATATTATTCCTCCTAATGAACTACTTCCTTTTAAAGCGTGCAGGCAGATTTTCAGTATTGGTACACATAAGCTTGTGCTTTAAAGTTCAAATGCAGAAACTCTGTGTTTACACTTCTAAACCTGGAAAAGAATCAAACTTATTTGAGAGTGTAATCTGGCAAGAAATAAAGATAGAAACAAGACCACGAGGGAGATATTTGGGGGTCAACCTCATAGTCAACACAGGAAGAAAAATAGAAAGCCCTTTTTGCTGGAAAAAATAGATGCTCCAGGTCCCTTCAGTTGCCTGCCTTGCTGCATGGACACTGCCTTTTCTTTCAGGACACCTTGGCAAGAACGGAGATCAGGCTTGAAGAAGCATAAATAGACATTAAATTACCCCAAATGGAATGTTCTAATATTCCATTGAACAATTCCCTCCTTATCAAAATATTAAATCCTGCATGCCCTCAACTACTCTATGTTGGCAGCAATGTAATAAAGAATAACGTGGATAATACAGTAAATGCGATCATCTCAGAGTCTGAATTTCTCATCCCATGCACCAAGGAAATAACTGTCAGTTCTGTGGCTGCAAAGGATCATGCAGGTAGGAATATATAGTCTAAAATAACTCATATGTAATTCTGCTTTTCTTTTTTCCTATAGTAACCTGTACAGGTCTCTGCACTGGACTCTCCCTTTTCAGAGTAGTGAAAGCAGTAAGTAAAGTTGTGGACATGTAACCTCTTAAAAAAATGTTGCAAGTCATTAATAAGAATTTTCACATGCAAATTTTTCAGCGTTTGGATGATGAACATTGGTGCAGTTTTCCCAGTATATCATTTTTAAGGTGTCTGGGGAAGAGATATTATCTTCTGAGGGAAAAAAAAGAATAATATAGAATAAAAAGTATATTTTGATATAGAAAATAGAATAAGAGTTGTTTGGGATCTCACCAGGATTAGGTACTATACTAACCATGTTTCAAAATGCCATTTCTTGCTTGACAAAAGGAATGTCAGAGACTACACTGCTTCTGAACTACTGTTGTGTGAGTTCAAAGAGGAACTATTAAGCCCTGGATCTGTGCCTGAGCTTTTTATTCCTGGTACTATCAAAGGGTGTGATCATTAATCCCAGTTAAACAAGAAGTCAGCATGTTCCACAGAATCAAAGAGTGAAGCAGAATTCAGGAGACAGATGTCTTGCTCCTGCTTCTGTTGATGAGGTGCTATGTCACTTATGAAGGTCGTGTTGGCTGATCTGCTTTTTGCTCAACAATTTAATATTAGCTTGGGACCCATAACTATACCTATCTATAGATTTTTCATGGTGTTGAGCCAATGTAGTAAACACAATGGGCAATGCATTTTTAAAGAATAAAGTACCCATTTATATGTATTATATATTTAACATCTTCTCATTGTAAATTCAACTACTGGAAGATTCTACACAAACCTAAACAATTTTACGTTTGCCTACATCATTAAAGGAGATCAAATCCCACTGATCTTGAAGAAATCTTAGATCATACTACTATATTCTTCTGATTGTCTCAGCCCTTTTACTTGAAGCTGGGTCTGTAAACAAATTAGTTGGTTTTTGCAGAGGTCGGTAAGGTCAATATCTGCATTTATGATTGGAGATTAATGTGAGGGATCAGTCCCATGCTTCATTTCTTTGTGGAGAAGCGAATTCCTTTGTTACTTACATACTTCACCATTAAAGGAGACCCAGGAATCTTCAGTGAAATCTAATCTGTTGATTAGATCATGCTATGCCTAACAGATACTAAGGAAGAAGCAGGATATTTGCACAAAAACTACTCAGCAGACATATGGGAATAAAGAAATGTCAATTATTCAGAAAAGATTTATCTGCTATGCCTAATTTTACAGAGGGATATGGAAAGAATTGAAAGGTTAAAAGGAAGGGCAACAAATAGATGGCAAAGCCATGAAAAGAATTTACTGCAAGACAGGAACTCACAGGTCTGATAAAGTTGCCCCTCATAAGCATGAAATTCTAGAACAGACATCCCACAGGAAAGTTGCTGCAGGAAAGGACTTAATAGAGGGCATGAATGAATGAAATACTGTATTTCAAGGACTAAGGGAATGAACCCAGCCCCCTAGGACTGTACTGTTCATTTCCAAAATATGACACTACTTTTGAAGAAGAAAATGAATTTCCAGTCAGATGGACCAGAACTGATGACGATTTAGGGTAATGTTTGTTTTTTCCCCATGCAGTTGAACAATGATTCAAAGGAATCTACATTGATAGAAGCAGCTGGTGTGTCTTTTTGAAGTGAGCTGATGATAAAACATAACAAAGCCAGTTGGCTATGGGAGATGGGTATTGATATAGTCACATTGATACCTCATGTGACTAAAATGCATGTCAAAAATATCTGAGTTATCTTTTTGTACTGATGTCAGGTACTCAGTATATGAAAAATGTCTGTTTGAGTTTTTTTCCTCAATAAACGGCACCATGTTGTCATTTGGGTAGTATGATACTGCAGAAGGAAATCTGTGTTTCTTCCCTGCTCTTGAAAAAACCCAACCCAGTAAACTCTACTTCTTTTGCCCTATTTTCTTTTCACCTTGCATGCAGCTCATGAACAAGTACTCTCTTTTTCCATTAATGAAGTTTCATCTCAGTCCTTCTTTTTTCATCTCACACTCACACTGATGATAATTTTTGCTCCCCTGTCAGTGCTGCACAGGAATCACAGGTACGGCTGCTGAGCTGGGGTTCATTGAAGCACAACGAGCTCCACACTGACATCAAACCTTGTGAATCAACAGCACAGGATCAAGATGTTATCATCTTGGGATACCAGAATTCAGGGAAGTCTGGTCACTGTCTTTAAGCAGACTAGGATGGTAAGCGAAGGGCACTTCTTACCATTATAGCAATGCAATTTGACTGCCTCGGTTACCTTTTCTGATTTCTGTCATGGATTGCAGACTGTCAGTACTACATTCCCATTTCCCTTCCTGTCACTGATGCAAGTTTTTGGGCCACTGCCTAGAAGAGATCTCTATAACAGAGGTCCCTTCTGTCTTTTTTTCCCCTGACGGAATGAATATTCTCTATTTCCATACACATCTGTTTTCAAAGGAGAATGAAGAGTCCTTTCATAACCTTGAACTGAGGCATCTTCATCTTGGGGAGAGAATTTCCTCAAGCCCTCCATTTTTGTATTATTTGCAGTAGGAATTGATGCCACACTTCTTCCTTTAGGACAGAAAGGGCAGAAGTGGGCTTCCTTCCTTATTTAGTGCCTTCCTTATCCTCACAGAAGGGACACAGTGCTCAGTAGTGAGGAGAAAACACTTCTGGACATCACCTAGTCCAAATCACCTGCTCAAGCAGGGCTGCCCACAGCAAGGATTGTGTTCAGATTAATACTTTGATGGATGGAGACTCCCCAGCCTTCTGGGGCAACCTGTGATAGGGCTTAGTCATTTTAAATAATAAAAATTGTTTCCTGGTGTTAAAAAAAAAACCCTGCCGTGTTTCAATTTGTGCCAAATCACCGCTGGTCTTGTTATTGGGCCCCACCAAAAAGAGCCTTTCTCTACCCTCTTTGCATCTTCCCTTCGGCTATTTGTACAAATCTGTGAGATCCCATTGAGCCTGCTCTTCTCAAAGCTGAACGGTCCCAGCTCTCTCAGCCTTTCCTCATAGGAGAGATGGTCCAGCACCTTAACCATGGTCATGACCATTTGGTGGACTCTCTCCAGTATGTTCATGACTGTCTGTACTGGAGCAGCCCAGATCTGAACCCAGCACCCCAGGTGTGCCCTCACCAGGGCTGAGCAGAGGGACAGGATCACCTCCCTCGACTTGATGGAATCGCTTTGTCTCATGCAGCTCAAGGTATTGTTGGCCTTCTTTGCGGCAAGGGCACACTGCTGGCTTCATGTATGACCCGATGCCCACCAGGACCAGTCCACCCAATGCCAAAGTGCATTCCAGCCGGGTAGTCCCCCACCTGTCCCGGCGCCTGAATTGTTCCTCCCCAGTGGCCGAGTTTTGCCCTTCGCCTTGTTGAAGTTGCTCTCCCTGGGTGTCCCCGGGTGCACAGAACTCCTGTGCCCAGCTGGAGGGGCAGCGGGAGCTGTGGAGACACCCACGCACCCGGGCTAGGGAAGCAGCCTGCGGAGGACGGCGAGGAGGGCGCAGGGAGGATCAGGGCAGCAGCGTCCCGCCGGGCACGCCCGCTGCCGCCTC